AGCCTGTGTTGGAGGCTGCAGCAGGCGGCCGTGCTGGGGCTGGTGTGGCTGCTGTGTCTGGGGACCGTGCTAGGCTGTGCTGTGGCTGTCTACACCTTCTCAGAGCTGGTGATCCAGGTGTGGGGAGGGCAGGATCTGGGTTTGGCAACTCTGGGCATCTGTACCCCCATCGTCCATCCTAGCTACGTCCATCCTAGCTACCCATCCAGGGTCCCACACACCCACCCTCCAGGCTGGGGCTGCCTCCTGATACGTCCTTTCTGTCTGCTGCTCTCCCCTATTTTTCTGTCTTCTTTTTGGTTTCTCTTTCCTTTCCCACCCCTTTGCCCCTGCCCCACTTCCTGTGTGGTATGAATCAGAGGGGTGTGTAGGGGGCTGGGTGTGAGGAAGGGAGGTGCTGCCTGCCTGGTTTGACCGTCCTTCACCTCCTCTCCCCAGCCCCCTGGTCCATCCAGGAGCAAGGCATGTGGTGACCTCCCCCTCCTCTGCTGCCCTGGCAGGGCCCTGTGGCTGCTGGCCAGGAGGTGACGCTGCTGGCGCTGCCCCTGGTGGTCTGCCTCCTCAACCTGATGGCCCCCTACCTGTACCGGGGCCTGGCCACCCTGGAGCCCCACGATTCCCCGGTGCTGGAGGTGTATGTGGCTATCTGCAGGTGTGTGGCTGGCAGGGCAGGCCCTGGGGTGCATCTTCCATGTCCCAGGGACCCTCCTCAGCCCCTATGCCCTGCCCTCTGCAGGAACCTCATCCTTAAGACGGTCATCATGGGGGTACTTTGCTACCACTGGCTGGGCCGCAGGGTGGGCGCCCTGCAGGACCGCTGCTGGGAGGACTTCGTGGGCCAGGAGCTGTACCGCTTCATGGTGGTAGACTTCCTCTTTGCGCTGCTGGACACGCTCTTCGGGGAGCTGGTGTGGAGGTGAGGGGCCAGATCAGCTTGCTTGTGCTTTGAGCACTCTGGGACCCCTGCCTGGGCAGGGATGGCCTCACCTTGCATGGTGGGGTTAGGACGGTCTGGCTTCCCAAATTGGGGCCTGTGCCCCTGCCCATGACAGCTCTTTTGTGGAGGGTTGTTAGACCAAGAACACAGGCTGGTTGGGACCCAGTGCATTTGAGACTGGGAAGGAACACGGGACCAGGTTTTGGGTTCAGGGAGATGCATGCTCTAGTCTCAGTCTCAGGGACAAAGAAAAGGCAAAAAGAGGCAAGGGTGAGAGGAGGTGAGGGTGGGGGGG